ATTACTCTTAATCCTTGTCCATATTCATTTTCGCCCATCCCACGCGAAGCGCGGAAGCTTTACTGTTTCATTAAATTATTAGAGAAGGAGGACGATTCGTTGTATCATGTCCTTGTGTGAATTCAGTCCCCCCCCCCCATATACGGTTGTCTCATTTACTTCGTATATATATGGATGTATTATGAAAATGAGATAGCAAAATGTGTATATTGATGGTCATCTTGCATCGGGCTCTCATCATTAATTTTTCTCTTTATTCATTTTTTTATGGTGAATTATTGGGGGGGGGGGGGGATGATTGTACAGGCCAACCCCCCACCTGAAATATTGGGGGGGGGGGGGGGGCATATACCCCCCATCCCCCCGGGATCGACACCCTTGTGTACAATACAAAAGAAAGCAAATGGCGTTTTACAAATCTCATTTGTTATCATTATTCTTAATATCACTATAATTAATATTTCTATCTTTATTATCATTGTTATCATTATTATTGTCATTGGTATCGGTATCATTATTATCATTATCATCACCATCGTTACAGTACAATGCAATTCAATATAATACAATTATTGCAGGACATGTAATTTATAGGTGTCTTTAGTTTTCGTTGGATGCAGTATTTATAGGCTGTACCTATTAATATCCTTCGCCGCCATTCGGCTATCCCACCGAATCTTAGTCGGTGAATGACTTACACCTAACATTAGGGAATTTTAGATTTGCACGTCAACATAGTGGACTGCTACGTGTGACGTTTTTAAGGCACTGGCAGTGCCTTTCACATCGATCTAAAAGTCCCTATTGTAAACCACCGCATATCGTAGATTGCCTATCCCCAATGCCAGATTAACCACGTGATCATTTAGACAGCAAGTCAGAGGACGTCCCTCGCCGTCTATAGCCTTTCTATAGAAGACGCTTGATCCATGAGCGGAGCACTAGACAATAGGGACCTTTTGATTTGCACGTTTACGAGTATACTGCAGTGTGTGTGTAATTGGGTTTTTACAGACGTGTATCAATCAGATATGATTATTTACGTCTGGGGACCGACTTTTAACGTCACCATCCGAAAGACGTGACTCAGTTTCGAACCTGCGTCCTCGGCTGAATCAGTTTGTAACTTCCACTGTTAGCTGGATTACAGGCGCACGCCACAACGCCTAGTTATAAGTATACTGCAACGTATGAAGTCATTTTTTAAGCAGTGCGCATGCAACCCTGCTTTTTAAATGACCGCAGACGTAGCAGTCAACTACTGAACGTGCAAATCGAAAAGTCCCTACTACAACAAGCCTAGAGCACAGGTGCTAGCTACGAAGCACACTCATTGGGCAGGGTAGTCCTTTAAAAAGTGTTATTCTCAAGATGATGTCATTTCGGCCTCGGCCATCAGAAACCTTCTGATTAACTTGCATATTAGTCTCAGCTCTGTCCTTATGATGTCTTACATCAATTGTGTATATGATTAATTTCTGTGATGAACATTACTCATTAAAACTTCACTTTTGGCAGATCAAGAATTTGCACAAGCAGGGTAACTTGTGTAGTTTTTAGAGTTTTATAGTTACCTTATCGTAGCATCGTACTAGCGTTTTAAATGGAACGAAGGGATTTCTTGCATTATGATTTTCTGTAAAGTATTCCATTGCCGCTTTAACTATTTACCATAAATAAAGCGTGGATTTATTATTATTATTATTATTTTTTTTATAAATAATTTGTTAATATTATTATTTTTTTTGTTTTGGGGGATAATTGATAGACATAGTTATCCGATAACATGTTTGGATATTTCCCCCACCATATCACAACATTGTCACAATTATATTCTTTCTTAACCTACATCGGCAAGATCGGTTAGGTCATACTAGTGTATAAAGGGACACTAGGTCATACGAGCGTAAGACGAGAACGCCTACCTCAGAAATGTTCGTGTTAATTTCGTTAATAATTATTCGAGACTTTTAGACATCTTGTATTTCAATATAGCACTTCAACATAAATGGAAACAGAAACAGGGTGTCATAATATTAATATTTCTGTACGATTTCTGTTTAAAGAGTTTCAGGTTTTAATTGCCGACTAGTAGGCCCATTATAAATATCTAATGTCGGTGTCAATTACCATTTGATATCAATTTCTGTGCGATTTCTGTCAAATGAGTTTCAGGTTTTAATTGCCGACTACATTGTGAGTAAAAAAAGGGATTACACCTACAAAATTGCTAATTATTAAAAAAAAAAAAAATCATCTATGAACAGTAAATTATTATACATCTCCTGTTCATCTAAGCGTGTACACATACCACACAAAAATGATGCCGAATGATTTGGGATAAAACAGTCTTTCATAAGATGTATAATAATTTACTAATCATGGATGATTTTTAAAAAATAATTAGCAATTTTCTAGGTGAAAACTTATTTTTGGCTCACACTGTAGTTGGCAATTAAAACCTGAAACTCATTAAACAGAAACCGCACAGTAGTAGGCCTATTATATCTAATGTCGGTGTTAACTACCACTTGAAATCAATTTTTCCCTTTGTGTTCTTTAAAGTATAACCGTTTACATTTCTTATTTAGTTTTTTGCGTGTCATTTAATCACTTGTAAATGTTTAAATGTTCATCCAAAAATACAATATGAATTTTGGTTTCGTCTGAACACATTCATAATTGTTTCCCAAAACTTTATTTTAGTTTTGGTTACTAATTTAGAATATGATAACCACAATTTTTTGAAGGAAAGCGAAATTCGGAGCGCTTAATTTGAGGCTGACCGTCTGCAGCAAAGGATACAAATTTGTTAATGCATCTATGAGCTTGTGTTAGCATATGATATTCAAGAGCGATATATTATCATTAGACAAAGGTCTACTTTTACTTTTTCAGAGGTGATATATTGACGTCATGGCAAACGGCTCAATCTTGTACCCGTTGCTCGTCGCTTGTCTCCTCGTCAGCTCGTCCTTCCAATCTTTACATCGACACGATGGAGATTCGGCGATGACATCTTTAACACTGGACATGGAAAAATCTTTCCATGGATGCGACCAGAACCTGGAATCGAAAGCGGCTTCTTGCAGATTTAAACACCTGGACACTGTTCCCCAGAGTCTCTCTGAGGATACCGAGGACCTTGACTTGTCTTATAACAACATCACCAAACTCTTGAATTCCTCTTTTGAAGTTTACCCTGTAATATACAACTTGAAAATTTCTTCTAACAATGTAAGAGCGATAGAATCCGCCGCTTTTTACCCCCTCAAGGGCTTAATGTACCTGTCTCTATCCCATAACTCGCGTCTTGTGCTTCCAGCAACAGATGTCTTCGTGATGTCTTCACGGCTTTCCATTCTCGATTTATCGTCAACAAACTTGGAGTCGCTCCCCAATGACATTCTGAAATGGAGTCCCAATCTATTTGAGGTAGATCTGTCCTCCAACCAGTTCTCCTCTATCAATATAAGTTCTTGTGGCATGGCCGACGATGTAAACATGGCTGGTAATCGACTACAACACCTTACGGCGAGAGATTTCATCTTTGTGTGCCACACTGACACTCTATATCTTTCAAGAAACCCTATTCAATCAGTAGACCCTGATGTGATCGCATCACTACATGTTCGCTCTTTGATGCTAGGTTACTATGCATATCTTTTGAGTTACGAGGTGTTGGCGAACATCACCCTCGGAATATCAACATCAGACATCAAACGGCTTAGAATCGAGTTTTGTTCTGTTGGTGCATTTCCCAAAGGTTTATTTGATCCACTGCGCAATTCTTCTCTCTCTGTTCTGGATTTCTTTGGGTGCGACCTCAATAGCCTTCATCCTCTAGTCTTCTCCAATTTGACAAAACTCAAACAATTCAGTTTCAGTAATAACAAACTCCCCATAGAAGAAATTCAACCAGACTTTTTCGAGGGCATGAATTCATTAAAGGTACTGACAATCAACAACAACCGAGTAAGAAAAATAAATCCTCACGATCAGACTTGGACAGTGGACTTATCGAAGTTGGACTTATCCGGTAATCTGTTTGCAGAAATATCTACATCTGCATTTCGCGGGTTAGGAAATTTAACTTTCTTAGACATGAGCTCGAACGAATACCTTTCTGTCTTTCAGCTGACGGCCTTTTCAGGCCTTGACAATATTCAAACGATTGATTTGACCGAAAGTCGTATATTTGTTCTGGAATTGAACACCCCAATATTAAGGTCACTTTCCCTAAACTATCTTCGTTCAGACTTGCCTCCTTTGGAACCAGGACATTCCTTTCAATATTTACAATCCCTTGTTAGTTTAGACATGAAAGACTCTAAGCTCTTCATGATGAACATATGGAATGAAGATAGAAACGCGTCTCTTTTCGATGGATTATTGAATCTTAATCATTTGGACTTGAGTAGTAACCGTTACCTGATTTTTGGAAGAGGTCTACCGCCAAGGATATTCCAACGACTATCTGTTTTACAAGAGCTTTATCTAGACTACTGCGATATTACAAATCTACACCCTCTTGTCTTCTCGGGGTTAGAATCGCTTCAGATGTTGAGTTTGAAAGGAAACAACATCAAGCATACCCACGTTGATGTATTGTCGGGGTTGGGTCAAATAAAAAGTATCAACTTTGAAGGAAACCTTATCTCATACTTGGAGGAGCAAATGTTCTCAAATAACGGGAAGCTCACAAATCTTTCCTTGGCCAACAACAGATTAACGCGCCTTAATGAAAGCACTTTCAAGCCGATCTTTTCCTCCATTTCATCACTTGATCTATCAAGGAATCCAATCAATTGTAACTGTGATCTAAAATGGCTTATTGGTTGGTTACATGAACCTTTACTCCTGATAGACAAAGAGAATACTATTTGTTCGTCAGCATCTCTGGAGCCTCTTCGTGAGAAACCCCTGCTTGATTTTGATCCAAATAAACTCTGTGTAATAAACAATAGTCTATTCTTTCTGATTCCCCTTGCCTCTATTAGCTTGGTTGTAATCAGCGTGCTGTTGTATTACTACCGATGGCAGTTGAGGTACAAACTCTTTCTCTTCAAACTGGCCGCTGTGGGCTATAACGAGATGCGGGACGTCCGAGACCACAATGACTACGAGTTTGACGTGAACATCATTTTCTACGACGATGACGAAGAATGGATTCGCGAACAGCTCCGACCGGCTCTCGAAGAACGGCTTCCACAGTTTCAGAGGAACGTATTTGGTGACGAAGACCTTGTGTTGGGTATGCATTACTTAGATTCCGTCGATTACGTGGTGAGCCATAGTTACAAGACTATCATATTGCTTAGCAGAGCTGCTGTGCACGACCACTGGTTCATACTCAAGTTCCGTACGGCCATGGACCACGTAAGTGACACTCTGACTGAATTCGTAGTCGTGGTCTTCCTTGAAGACATCCCAGATGATGAAATGCCATTCCTGGCGAGGTTGTACCTCAGTGATGGCAGACCCTATGTTCACTGGACTGAGAACGTGAGAGGACAAGAATATTTCTGGGATGAATTGACCAAAAATCTGACAATTAATCTAAGGACCAATGACTTGATCCCAAACGAGTAGCAGTCATGTAGGAATATAGAGATATGTGCGATGGTAATCAGTAATGATAGTGGTAATAGTAGTAGTAGTAGCTGTAGAAATAGTAGCAGCAGCAGCAGCAGTAGTAGTAGTAGTAGTAGTAGTAGTAGCAGCAGTATTAAAAGTTATAGTGCTAGGAGGAGGAGTAGTAGTAGTAGTAGTAGTAGTAGTAGTAGTAGTAATAGCAACAGCAACAGCAGTAATAGAAGTAGTAGTAATTAGGAGTAGTGGTAGTAATATTAGTAGTCGTAGTAGTATTATTAGTAGTATAATCACCCTACTTATATTGTTACTATTATACTAGTATCATCATATTGTTTTCTTGATATTAATAGTCACTACCATCAGTATAATTATCATCTTTATCCATTAATAACATCATCGTCATTAGTACTATTTTATTGATATCATCGCCAACATCATCACCATCATCACCACTATCATTGTTGTTATTGATGTTGTTTCTGTTAAAGGTATACATGAAATTACAATATGTTAGAAAATCGGTAAGTTAGTTTGCAATCATGTCGACTTAACGTGTGTTCTCGTGGTATGGTGGCTTTATCACATGGTTGGATGCAAATCTCTATCGTACTTGTATCGACAGTTTCTTTCTATGCATTTAAAGAGAAGGTTGAGTTCTGGGGAGAGGTGAACAATAATTTGTGAGCGTTTTCATTGTTATTTATATGCAAGTATGGAAGATAATCACAGAAAAAATTGTTCCCTGAAGAGCATGGCTCTTCAAATGCCTTCCTATTTTAAATATAATTGAACAGCTTAAAAATGTGGGCCTCATTTTTATGCCACATGTTTGTGTAGTCCCATATACATCTTTCTGTGTACATTGCTTGTTACTTTTACCGAGACTGGGCGAAATTTCTTATCAATTGCACTTGCAGTACGCACCAATATTTATATGCTACATGACCAACTATATCTGTTGATTCCACATCGTTTCTTTCACAATACAATCGCATGACCAGAACTCAACTTTATCTTTAACGATTTCTATATTTCTCTAAGGCTAAGCGCACACTATACGATCTGATGCGATCCGACTTTGGAAAAATGTACAACAGCATTTTATATGAACATTCCAACACGTAAAATCTTGATGATTGAGACTCTGTTTATCCATGTAATGTAGAGGAAAAGGTAAATCGGCTCAGAATCTTAGTGACGTCATACCAGTAATACGATTGTCTACGATTTGAAGTCGATTCAGAATTAATTGTGGCTAATAGGCTTAGAGGCACTAAAATGGTTGTTGTTCTTATCATTATTTGCAATGTAAATCAGCAAAACGTTCTTTGCTTAAATTTCCATAACTAAATAAATAATTGTCATTGCTTGAAGTATCTGATCGCAGTCGGGTTGTGTAGTGTGCGCCGGTAAGTGTAAGTGTGATTGAACATATTTAGGGAGAAGTGAATCCCTTAAAGATAACCCAAAACCCAATTTCCATGAAACCTCTTTGACAATGACCTTTTCTGTAGACTATGGTTTGGAATATAACACGATGAGTTATATTGATGATTCGATGTAAAACTTAAGGGTTTTTCTCATTGTGTTATCGGCTGTTTTACAAAATTGTGTCTTAAAACTCTCAGTGTCAATAATATTCCCTCAAGAATACTGATCTCTGAAAATATATAAATTTCCGCCAACGAAAATGTCGAACATGAATGCTTTATACATGTATATAGTAGATTTCTGTAAATTTTGCCAGTCACAACAATTGTTTTGCATGTTTTCAATAAATTGTTTAATACGTCACACATACTTTTACATTTAGTCCGTGGGCCAGAGGGGGCTACCGTGCACCCCCCCCTATGATCCTACTTCTTGGGTGTCATTTTGTTCATTGGGATCCATAATATCAGAAAAAAGATGTTCCCAAGAAAAAAACTCATTTGGACACTGTTTTTTTGCTCCTTATTTGAAGATATGTAAAAATGTCAGTTTTTCGTGTTTTGCACACTTTCTTAGGGTTTGTGAATTATGTGCTTACATTTTACCCTGTTTCTCAGCAGATATAACTCTAATCTCCACCAAATTTATAAAAGATCTTTGTAAACAATACAACAATAGGTGGACAAAATTATTTTATTTTATTTTATTGTCTTCAATTGTTAATGACGTCATAAATTTGCATATATTTTGATATGCAAATTTCTGCCTCAAAACCTGTCAAAATCACCTGAAAGTTGTATTTTGTCTGCTACTATCATGAAATAAGTTTTCAAACCCCATAATTTGGTGTAAAATTATTCATTGATATGTTATCTGATGTTTCCTGCAAAAAAAATTCAGTCAACTCTTGTTGACATTGTTTTTTTTACCATTATTTGTTATGTAAACATATCAGTTTACCGTGTATTGTACATTTTCTTAGGGTTTGTGAATTATGTGTTAAATTTTACCCCGTTTCTCAGCAGATATAAGTCAAACCTCTACCAAATTTATAAACGATCTTTGTAAGCTATACAATAATAGGTAGAAAAAATTATTTTATTTTATTTTATTGTCTTCAATTGTTAATGACGTCATAAATTTGCATATATTCTGATATGCAAATTTCTACCTCAAAACCTGTCAAAATCACCTAAAAGTTGTATTTTGTCTGCTATTATCATGAAATAAGTTTTCAAACCCCCTAATTTGGTGTAAAATTATTCATTGATATGTTATCTGATGTTTCCTGCAAAAAAAAATTCAGTCAACTCTTGTTGACATTGTTTTTTCCCATTATTTGTTATGTAAACATATCAGTTTTCCGTGTACTGTATATTTTCTTAGGGTTTGTGAATTATGTGCTTACATTTTACCCTGTTTCTCAGCAGATATAAGTCAAACCTCCATCAAATTTATAAAAGATCTTTGTAAATAATGCAACAATAGGTAGACAAAACTATTTTAATTCATTTTATTGTCTTCAATTATTAATGACGTCATGAATTTGCATATATTTAATATGCAAATTTCTGTCTCAAAACCTGTCAAAATCACCTAAACGTTGTATTTTTGTCTGCTATTATCATGAAATAAGTTTCTAGCCCCCTAATTTGGTGTAATATTATTCATTGATATGTTATCCGATTTTTCCCACAAAAAAAAAATCTGTATCAGTCAACTCGTATGCGCCCCCCCCCCCGCCCGCTTATTACAATTAGTACATTCTGTACATATAATGTACATTTAATTCAGGTTGGATATCAACTCTTTGGTACAGTCCACGAATCACAAAGTCCTGCCAGAGGTTTGACAAATTTGTTGCGTTGCTGCAACAGTTTGATTAGCTTGACTTTGCCGGTTCCTTTAAATATGCGCTTTTGGAGTCACAGCCTGAGAAAGCATGTAAGTCCAAGGAGTGCTGGGCAAAATTAGTGACATCTTTGAGCCGCTGCTTGTTGCCTCTCCATGTATGGAAGAGTAATGTAATGTCTGGAGTGAGATGAGTATAATGAAGCAATATAAAAATATATCGCTGTTTGGGCTTTTGATCTGCACATGATCACAACCTTGCTCCTTTACCGTATTGGCAGTAAAAGGATCACGCGTGAATCTGTTTCTTCTTGGGTTGAGTTGAGAGATGGAATCTCAGAATACAGTGTCTCTCTCCCATTCCGAGAAGTGAGCATTTAGGCTTCTCCTTCTTTGATGAATATCATCTTTTCCCATATAGCCTCTTAGCCCGGCTCTTAGCCATGTTGTGCTTACTCCAGACATCCAGAAGAACTTGAATAAGTTGTTTCTTATTCTCATCATTCGTTAGGAACTGCTTCCAGTCAGATGGTCTTTTGGTCTTGCCTCCTTTAATCATCATCTTCTCTGCACACCCACGCCGTGTCCGTTCACTTGACTTCCCAGAGTCTGGCTTGTACATGTCTGTGCTGAAAATGACATCGTATTTGGACAACACTCCATTGTGAATTTTGATGCAAATATCGTGGAAGTATGCAGGCATCTCTTTTAGGTAGTAGAAAACCATTTCCCACTACCAACTAATTGCCAGTGGTTGAAGGTTGTGAGTTCTCTACATCCTTCCGGAGATAGTGTAGGCCCTTAAATGTATCTGTCTTAGCAAAGAAGTTGTTCCAACGTTCCAATTGAGTAGAGAACAGGGATCAAAGAATTCCCGTAGATCAAGTTGGCTTTTTCTCTAATCGCTCTTTGATGAACATCTCTTTCTGGTCTTTCCCTGTGGTAATTGCATGCATGACATCTTGCTCAACCTCAGCTGGAACGCGGGCACCGGAAGAGAAAACATACAATCCATTCTTGTCATCAACATCAACTTGATTGAGGAAGCTTTTTACATCATCTATGGCCTTTTTTTTAATACACATCCCTCACTTTTCCTTATCTGAGTTGGTTGTTGATCTCTGTGTTTATTTCCACGGTGAGCATCAAACGTCATATCTGCATATATTTGAGCCCACCTCTGATATACACTGTAGTTCTCAATTATGCCAGAGAGACCGACACCACTACCAACCCCACTGCGAGATTTGCCATGCTTCAGGATTATCTCCTCAATTGTCTTGTCGACAGCACATCGGTTCCCTGGAATGAGCGACCTGGCAACACTTATTGCAACTCTTTTGAGCAATGTCATGGCACCATGATGTGAATCTTCAATGTTTACCAAGAATACATCAAGGTAGGTCACATATTGGGAGTAATTGTGACCAGGTCAGGCATAAGGAACAGGCAGTGCAAGTACAATGGACAGTACTGTTATTTTCTTTCACAGACCTGATCAATGAAAGATCAATCCAAACGCAATCAACATACGACATCAAAATTTGTGCCGTCTTCCAAAGAGATCCTCTTCAAACATCAGTTTTGAAGCTCTCATATTACTCTATCAACGCCTTCAGATCTGCATTAGCCACAACCTCAGCATGCCTCTCCTTTGTTGGTGATCGAATTAGCTCTTGGAAGATATTCTTTGATTCCTCAGCTATACCATCAAG